TTATGTCATTTACATTTAGCATTTACATCTCATGCTATTTTTCCTTTTGCTCACTTGAGCATTTATTTTCTGTCATTTTTATCTTTTCTCACTTGAGCTTTCCTTTCTTTTGTAATACACTTAATAATTAACTTGAACATTAAAAGCTTTAAGTACATTTGGACTATCTGGTTACTACCCCTAGCACTATGGAGTTGTGGGGTTGTGGATTCATGAGATGTAGGATCAGAAACGTTGAAACCTTGAAACTCTATGATTTCTGTGACATTTTTGTGAAGTTGTTTTGAAGTCCTTGGGGTTTACTCCAAGGTATTGGTTTGAATTTTTTTGTGTTCAGGTTATTTTGATTTCCAAGCTTTGTCTGTGATTGAGAATTTCTATGTATACATTTGTCACTATGGCCAATTTTTTGAAGACTTTGCTTGGTTATTTATTCATTTGAGGCTTGATGTTTGTTGCACCCCAAAATTTTCCCTCCAATTTTCACACAAGATAAACTCCTAGAGGTCCTCAATTGCTCAAGTTGACTAAGGATTGGCCAGACAAATCCTTCTCCTAAGACAAGGAGCCTCAAACTAGGGTTTCACTCCTCATCAAGATGTTTGAGTTTCAAAGGGTCCTAAGTGGTTTCCATTTCCATAATATGTCCTCAAGATCATCCATGCCAAGTTTCATGCCTTGCACAAGAAGTTTGCTCAGTCAACTGCTTAAATGCCTGAAAATCAACTGTACTAGGTCAAAAGTCAATTGTGACCCACATACAGTAAAACTTCAATATTTTTGGTCAACATCAACATTTTGAAGTGATATCCATCATTTGATCAAGGGTTGATCGGGATTCCTCGAGGAATGCTCCTAATTCATCAAAACTCAAAAGTTGCTAAATTAGGGTTCCTATAGGAAAAGTCAACCAAAATTTGATCAGGTATAACTTTCTCATACTTTAACGGAAATTTCTCATCCAGGGATAATTTTTAATAGAATCCATTTCCCTACAACTCATCTTCATCCCTAAAGTTCAAGAAATGCACTCATGAAAAGATATAAATTCAGACATTATATGTCTTTTTCAAAAGTCAACAAAAACACCTTTTGGGTCAAAGATTATTACATGAACATGGAAGATCAAATTGAGATGAAACCAAAGAGTTTGCTTAGGGGACATCCTAAGCTTTCTAAAAAGTCCAAGAACACCCTCATAGGGTTAAAATTGAGAGAGATATGCATTACCAAAGTTGGCCAATTTTTGAAAAAAATGCATGAAGCAAATATTGACCAAACTTGGATTTTTTCCAAATGGGCCTATCTTTTCAAGTTTGAAAATCATTTCTAACATAGTCCACGACCTCTAAGCCCACCCATACATTTTTCTACTATTTATGCTATTTATTTTGATATTTTATTCATTAAAATTCAGAATTAAATAAATAAATAATAGAAATAATGTAAATTTTTAGGTGAATCCATTTTGGGCAAGTTTTATGCTGGTTTATGTCAATTGATTTCGTGCAATAACCCTTCAAATATGTCCAGGTTCATCCACATGTGAAAATGGCATAAAATCATCAAATATGGCATTTTTTCAAATTTTGATCATGGTCTTAAAACACAACATTATGTGGGAGATTCTTTCCATGAATTATTGTATCCTTATTCTCCTATATAAATATAGAGCCATACAAGCTTGAAAGACACAAAATTCCTCTCTAAAAATCTCTCAAAAAGCTATCCAAAAGCTCTCCAGAAATCAAAGAATTGGTACAAGTCATATCTCGAGGTTCCGGTCTCTCTCGATTGACATAAAGCCTCAAACCATCCTCTTGAAGTCCTCAGGAGTCTTACAAGGTTCAAGAGCAATCCATCGCACGCCTAGCACGCCTCCATTTGACAACACCAGTTTCGTAAAATTTTAAACTTTGAATCTCTAATTTTAATCACATTTCATGGCATGCTAACGTTTGTTTGAGTTTATATAGAACAGTTATGGATGGTTGAATCAGAGGATCCATGCGAGAATCTGAAAACACCATGGTTAGGGCATAAAGCTTTCGAAGATTCGGGCCTAGGGATTTCTGATGATTGCACACCCTGTTTACTTTTGCTACTAGGCCCATCTTTATTTTCTTGTTTTATTCATTTCATTTATTTCTTTTAATCTCTTTTTTTTATTTTAATCAATAAATAAATATAAAAGTCACATAAAAATAGATTTAGGATTTTTCTTAATTAAATTTTAATTTTGGTAAATTAATTAACTAATCACTTTAACTTTTTTTTAAATTAAAATTAATAGAACTTATTCTAATCTTATTCTGTTTATATTTTTACCAACATAACACTTCCAAATATAAATACATACAATAAAGGAATTTGACGTCTCAATTACAAATATTTTTCATTTTAAAATACTTTTCACTACTTATCCACACAAGCATAAGTATTTGTATAATAACATTACTACTTATAATTTATAATTACAACATTTTTCTCTAATGCAATTTTCATTAAACTTATTAATTGTTAATCATACAATACTATAATATAAAAAATTTAAAAAGTTAGAAAATTAATTATACGTCAGAATAATACTACCAATTAACAAAAGTTTTTAAAAAATCATGTTACTAAAGAAAAATAAAATTATATGATTATTTTCACAATATTAGAAGTCATACGATCTGACTAATGGCCCACTGGTTTGACCAGTAACCCAATGACCCAATAGCTTGATCGGGTCGATAACTAGTCAGAGTTTTAAAACATTGATTATAGGGACTGATTTATCATCTCTCTTAAAAAAATATCATTTTATTTTTATTATATTTTAGAAACAAATGCACGTATCATACCGATACCCGTGCGAACACACAAGTATCCCACTAATTACTCATTATAGACTTGATATATTTAATATCCTTGACCTATCATATATGGTCATTAGTCTACTCACATAATAATCATTTTGTATTATTGTTATATCATTTGACAATAAAGTATGGCTACGGATAATTTATAATTACATTTATATTTTATGGTGGCTTAATTTTAAGTCATAGTTAATGTTCCATTAAATATATTAATTATTTAAGATACTTTATTACTTTGAAAACAAAGATTATAAAAGTAAATATTTTTCTTATAAATAATTTACACAATACAAATTTTAAAGTTCAATCATAAAATTGTTGCCTTCTAAGACTTCTACCAACAAAAACATCCTCAAGGATGCCACCAATCAACCTTATATTCATATGGTATATATAACACACGCTTAAATACCTAAGTTAACTTTGATGAAGGATAGTAGTAAAATGTAGATTTATTCTAATCTTATTATGTGCATAATTTTTACCAACAAAACACTTCCAAGTATAAATACTAACAATAAACGATCTTGATATCTCAATTACAGATATTTTTCATTTTAAATTATTTTTCACAACTTATCCACACTAGAATAAGTATTTGTATAATAACATTACTACTTATATTATATAATTACAACATTTCTCTCTAATGCAATTTTCATTAAACTTATTTATTATTAATCATACAATACAATAATATAATAAATTTAAAAAGTTAGAAAATTAATTATACGATAGAATAATACTACAAGTTAACAAAAGTTTTTAAAGAAATCATGTTACCAAAGAAAATTATAATTATATGATTATTTTCACATTATTAGAAGTCATACGGTCTGACCAATGGCCTACTTGTCTGACCAGTAACCCAGTGACCCAATAGCTTGATTGGGTCGATAACTGGTCTGAGTTTTAAGACATTGATTATAGGCACCTATTTATTATCTCTCTTAAAAAATATCATTTTATTTTTATTATATTTTAGAAACAAATGTTTGTACCATATCGATACCCGTGCGAACGCACAGGTATCCCACTAGTTACTCATAATAGACTTGATATATCTAATATCATTGGCCTATCATATATGTTAATTAGTCTACTTACATAATAGTCTTTTTGTATTATTGTCATATAATTTGACAATAAAGTATGGCTACGGATAATTTATAATGATATTTACATTTTATGGTGACTCGATTTTAAGTCATAATTATTGTTCCATTAAACATATTAATTATTTAAGATACTTTATTACTTTGAAAATGAAGATTATAAAGACAATAATTTTATTATAAATAATTTACATAATACAAATTTTAAAGTTCAATCCTAAAACTGTTGCCTTCTAAGACTTACACCAACAAAAACATCCTCAAGGATGCCACCAATCAACCTTCTATTCATATGGTTTATACAACACACACTTAAATTCTTACATGTCAAAAACATAGGAACTTTGACGAAGGATAGTAGCAAAACATAGACTTATTCTAATCTTATTATGTACATATTTTTAAGCAACATAACACTTCCAAATATAAATACTAACAGTAAATGATCTTGACATCTCAATTACAGGTATTTTTAATTTTAAAATATTATTAACTACTTTTCCACACAAGCATAAATATATTTATATTAACATTACTACTTACTCCCTCCGTTCCTTTTTAATTGACGTTTTAGCCAAAAGCTCTCCAACCAAGATACATGAATTGCTATAATTTTTTTCCCATTCTACCCTCATTCTCTTTCCAAATAAAACTCATTAAATTATTTAATTCAAATAATTAATTCCATATTTTGGGGCACACAACTCTCTCTCTCTTCCGTAACTACTCCTAAATTTTTGGAATTAATCTTGCATGCTATAAGAATATGTACTGCTGTTTCATTAAATATTTACTTTTACTATAAAAATATTTATTGCTTATTGTTTCAATGAATGGCTAAAGGAAAACTTAAGTTTCCCACCGTAAAAATACTTATTCCCTCCAATTATTTTAATAAAAACGTAAGTTTCCCACCATAAAATTAAAACCAATGATGAGGTTGAACCAATAATAAAAGGAGTAGTATATATAATATGGTTTCATATTATAAGTTCAAAATATTTACATCTCATCAAATATGGCTTTAGAGGAGGTTGAAGCAACTAATGACATTGATGAGTCCTATGAAGATAATTTACAAGAGGAGGTTGAAGGAAACAATGACATTGGTATATTTTTTATTTCATGTGTGTTTGTTTTTTATGTGGTGGTTTCTATACTTAAATTCACAGTGATATTTCATGTGTGTTTATTTTTTATGTGGTTGTTTCTAGTAATTTTGTTATTTTTTTAAAAAAAATTGTAGTGTATGTTGCAGAAAATTTTGAAGCAGAATCTAGAGAAAGAAAGAAATTAAGAGTCTTAAGCAATGAAGAACGCATGTCTATTTATCATGAGCTACTACAAAAAAGCGTTGATGGACAATTACGTAAAGGAGCTACAAATGAGGTGGCTTCATCAAATTCGGTTCCTATAAGAACTGTTCAACGTATTTGGAAAAGAGCAAAAGAAAGTGAAACGCGTGATGTCTCTCATAGGAAGATAAAAAATTATAGACGTAAGAGAATTTCAATTGATGAGAATCAAATTCGTGAACTTCCTTTCAGTCAAAGAACAAACATTCGATCTTTAGCTTTTGGGTTGAAAACCAATCCAACATCGGTGTTCAGGCTTATAAAATCAGGGCTTATACAGCATAATTCAAATGCCATAAAACCATTATTGAAAGAAGAAAACAAAATATCTAGGCTGGAATTTTGTTTATCAATGCTTGAAGGTACACCACATGATCCAATGTTTAAAAGCATGCACAATATTATTCATATTGATGAAAAATGGTTTTATATGACTAAAAAATCCGAGAAGTATTATTTGCTCCCAGATGAAGATGAGCCATATCAAACATGTAAGAGCAAAAATTTCATTGCCAAAGTTATGTTCTTAGTTGCTCAAACTCGGCCACTATTTGACGCAGGAGAAAATGAAACTTTTCGGGTAAAATTGGTGTTTTCCCGTTTGTTACCCATGAACCGGCTCAAAGGTCAAGTATTAACAGAGTTGCAGGAACAATGGTAACAAAAGCAATAACTTCGGTTAAGAGAGATGTGGTAAGATCATTCCTTATTGACAAAGTCCTACCGGCTATAAGAGAAAAATGGCCAAGAGATGACTTGAAGTCAACAATATTTATTCAGCAGGATAACGCAAGGACGCATATAAACCATAATGATCCTTTGTTTTGTGAGGCTGCTACCAAGGATGGGTTTGATATTCGTTTAATGTGTCAGCCTGCAAACTCTCCAGATTTAAATATCTTAGATCTTGGGTTTTTCTCGGCTATACAATCATTGCAATACAAGGAAGCACCAAAAACTATTGATCAACTTATCGATGCAGTGGTGAAGTCATTTGAAAATTTTCCTTCAATTATATCCAATCGTATATTTGTATCATTGCAATTATGCATGGTAGAGATCATGAAAGTGACAGGTTCCAATAAATATAAAATTCCTCATATAAATAAGGAAAGGCTAGAAAGAATAGGACAACTACCAATTCAAATTAAGTGTGATCCAATATTAATACAAGAAGTCAAGAATTACTTAAACATGGAGTAACACTTATTGTAAGTGGGATGTAGTCACATTTGAGATTTTCAAATAGAGTTTTTTTTTTTAAGTTTATGGATTGTACTCCTAAAATTTAGTTTATGGAGTAACAAATTTAGTTACAGTAACTTTTGCCATAAATATAGTTTATGGATGTAGTCACTTTTATCATATGTACTGTGCGTGAGAATTAAGTTTATATTTTCCTAAACTTTTGCCATAAAAAGTTACAGTAACTTCCTAAACTTTAGCAAATCTCCTGCACGTAACTTCCTAAACTTTTGCCATGATTTTTTTTAATGTATCAATAAAAAAACAATAAGAATGAACTTAAGAAATGCATTCCTAAATTGTAGCAATAACAAGGAATTCTTCTCCATACTTATTTTATAAAAAAAATACCAATAATAAGGACTTCTTAAATAATAACTCCTACAACTTATGCACTTAAGCCAAATCTAAAATGAGATACTCCATACTTAGTCCATAAATATTTTTCAGTAAAATTTTGGAAGAAGTTTTTTTATCATCTTTTTTATCACAGGTCGAAACTCAGTATGGTGGGAAGATTCTTCTCCATTTTTTCTCCTTCTTCTTCTTCGTCTTCTTCAGGAAATTTGTTCAAATCAAATTCATAATCTGCCTCTTCATTTAAATCAAAATCCAGTACAATTCTTGATAATACTTCTTCTTCGTTGTCATCTTGTTCTTGAATCTTGTCAAAAGAGTCTTCCACGATTTCCCCTTCTTCTTGCTCCAATGACTCTTCCACTCTTTCTTCTTTTTGAAGATCCATGGAGTCTTTTGTTGTTCCACCACAGCTCTTTTGTTTTGTATGGGATAATTTAAACAATGGTACTAATCCTTTTTATAGAATTATTAGTCTTCAATTGAAAAATTTGTTCCTTTGACAAAATTTAATGCTAAACATTTTTCTATGTAATATTGGAATATAATTTGAAGTGAGTGTGAAGTGAGTTATTACATATATTAAATTTTCATGGGAATAGGAATACGTATTAAGAAAGAGAATTTTATGGAAAATGTGAAGTGAGTTATTACATATATTAAGAAAGGAAAATTTTATAAAATATAAAGTGGACTTATTTAAAAAGTAAGGGTATAATTGGTAAATTGTAACCTTAAAACATCAAAACGACACTTAAATAGGAACAAAAAAAAACTTCTAAAACGACACTTAAAAAGAAACGGAGGGAGTATAATTTATAATTGCAGTATTTCTCTCTAATGCAATTTTCATTAAATTTATTAATTATTAATCATACAATACAATCATATAATAAATTTAAAAAGTTAGAGTATTAATTATACAACAGAATGTTACTACATATTAACAAAAGTTTTAAAAGAAAACATGTTACTAAAGAAAAATAAAATTATATGATTATTTTCACATTATTAGAAGTCATACGATCTGACCAATGGCCCACTGGTATGACCAATAACCCAGTGACCCAATAGCTTGTTCGGGACGATAACTGGTCCGAGTTTTAAAACATTGATTATAGGCACTGATTTATTATCTCTCTTAAAAAATATCATTTTATTTTTATTATTATTTAGAAACAAATGCGTGTACCATATCGATACCCGTGCAAACGCATTGGTATCCCACTAGTTACTCATAATAGACTTGATATATCTAATATCCTTGACCTATCATATATGTTAATTAGTCTACTCATATAATAGTGTTTTTGTATTATTGTTATATCATTTGACAATAAAGCATGGTAACAGATAATTTATAGTGACATTTACATTTTATGGTGTCTCAATTTTAAGTCATAATTAATCTTCCATTAAACTTATTAATTATTTAAGATACTTTATTACTTTGAAAACAAAGATTATAAAGAAAATACTTTTATTATAAATAATTTAAACATAACTAATTTTAAAGTTCAATCATAAAATCGTTTCCTTCTAAGACTTACACCAACAAAAACATCCTCAAGGATGCCACCAATCAAACTTCTTTTCATATGGTTTATACAACACACAATTAAATACGCACATGTCAAAAACATAGGACTTTGGCGAAAGATAGTAGCAAAATGTAAACTTATTCTAATCTTATTGTGTGTATATTTTTTACCAACATAACACTTCCAAGTATAAATACTTATAATAAAGGAATTTGACGTCTCAATTACAAGTATTTTTCATTTTAAAATACTTTTCACTACTTATCCACACAAGCATAAGTATTTGTATAATAACATTACTACTTATAATTTATAATTACAACATTTCTCTCTAATGCAATTTTCATTAAACTTATTAATTGTTAATCATACAATACTATAATATAATAAATTTAAAAAGTTAGAAAATTAATTATACGTCAGAATAATACTACCAATTAATAAATGTTTTTTAAAAAATCATGTTACTAAAGAAAAATAAAATTATATGATTATTTTCACAATATTAGAAGTCATACGGTCTGACTAATGGCCCACTGGTCTGACCAGTAACCCAATGACCCAATAGCTTGATCGGGTCGATAACTGGTGAGAGTTTTAAAACATTGATTATAGGGACTGATTTATTATCTCTCTTAAAAAAATATCATTTTATTTTTATTATATTTTATAAACAAATGCACGTATCATACCGATACCCGTGCGAACACACAAGTATCCCACTAATTACTCATTATAGACTTGATATATCTAATATCCTTGACCTATCATATATGGTCATTAGTCTACTCACATAATAATCATTTTGTATTATTGTTATATCATTTGCAATAAAGTATGGCTACGGATAATTTATAATTACATTTATATTTTATGGTGGCTCAATTTTAAGTCATAGTTAATGTTCCATTAAATATATTAATTATTTAAGATACTTTATTACTTTGAAAACAATGATTATAAAAGTAAATACTTTTCTTATAAATTATTTACACAATACAAATTTTAAAGTTCAATCATAAAATTGTGGCCTTCTAAGACTTCTACCAACAAAAACATCCTCAAGGATGCCACCAATCAACCTTCTATTCATATGGTATATACAACACACGCTTAAATACCTACGTTTCAAAAACATAGGAACTTTGATGAAGGATAGTAGTAAAATGTAGAGTTATTCTAATCTTATTATGTGCATAATTTTTACCAACAAAACACTTCCAAGTATAAATACTAACAATAAATGATCTTGATATCTCAATTACAGATATTTTTCATTTTAAATTATTTTTCACTTATCCACACTAGAATAAGTATTTGTATAATAACATTACTACTGATATTATATAATTACAACATTTCTCTCTAATGCAATTTTCATTAAACTTATTTATTATTAATCATACAATACAATAATATAATAAATTTAAAAAGTTAGAAAATTAATTATACGATAGAATAATACTACAAGTTAACAAAAGTTTTTAAAAAAATCATGTTACTAAAAAAAAAATTATATGATTATTTTCACATTATTAGAAGTCATACGGTCTGACCAATGGCCTACTTGTCTGACCAGTAACCCAGTGACCCAATAGCTTGATCGGGTTGGTAACTGGTCCGAGTTTTAAAACATTGATTATAGGCACCTATTTATTTCTCTCTTAAAAATTTCATTTTATTTTTATTATGTTTTAGAAACAAATGTCTATACCATATCTATACCCGTGCGAACGCACAAGTATCCCACTAGTTACTCATAATAGACTTGATATATCTAATGTCCTTGGCCTATCATATATGGTAATTAGTCTACTTACATAATAGTCTTTTTGTATTATTGTCATATAATTTGACAATAAAGTATGGCTACGGAAAATTTATAATGATATTTACATTTTATGGTGACTCGATTTTAAGTCATAGTTATTGTTCCATTAAACATATTAATTATTTAAGATACTTTATTACTTTGAAAACGAAGATTATAAAGACAATAATTTTATTATAAATAATTTACATAATACAAATTTTAAAGTTCAATCATAAAACCGTTGCCTTCTAAGACTTACACCAACAAAAACATCCTCAAGCCACCAATCAACCTTCTATTCATATGGTTTATACAACACACACTTAAATTCTTACATGTCAAAAACATAGGAACTTTGACGAAGGATAGTAGCAAAACATAGACTTATTCTAATCTTATTATGTACATATTTTTAAGCAACATAACACTTCCAAATATAAATACCAACAGTAAATGATCTTGACATCTCAATTACAGGTATTTTTAATTTTAAAATATTATTATCTACTTTTCCACACAAGCATAAATATATTTATATTAACATTACTACTTATAATTTATAATTACAGTATTTCTCTCTAATGCAATTTTCATTAAATTTATTAATTATTAATCATACAATACAATCATATAATAAATTTAAAAAGTTAGAGTATTAATTATACAACAGAATGTTACTACAAATTAACAAAGGTTTTAAAAGAAAACATGTTACTAAAGGAAAATAAAATTATATGATTATTTTCACATTATTAGAAGTCATACGATCTGACCAATGGCCCACTGGTATGATCAATAACCCAGTGACCCAATAGCTTGATCGGGACGATAACTGGTCCGAGTTTTAAAACATTGATTATAGGCACCGATTTATTATCTTTCATAAAAAATATCATTTTATTTTTATTATTATTTAGAAACAAATGCGCGTCCCATATCGATACCCGTGCAAACGCATTGGTATCAAACTAGTTACTCATAATAGACTTGATATATCTAATATCCTTGACATATCATATATGTTAATTAGTCTACTCATATAATAGTGTTTTTGTATTATTGTTATATCATTTGACAATAAAGCATGGTAACAGATAATTTATAGTGACATTTACATTATATGGTGTCTCAATTTTAAGTCATAATTAATCTTCCATTAAACTTATTAATTATTTAAGATACTTTATTACTTTGAAAACAAAGATTATAAAGAAAATACTTTTATTATAAATAATTTAAACAATACT